TAGATATATATAATATGTATATATACATACATATATATATCTTCAACCCATCGTCAATGTATTGTTTTTGAAAGTATTTAAATACAAAGAAACCCATTGAGAATTAACACAGATTCACTATATCTCAAAAAATAAATAGCTATATAACCCAGAAGTGTTGCTTGTTTCTGCCCATGAAAATGTTGCTTATAGTTTTTCACGAAAGGTCAAATTACGATTTTATTTACTCATACTGAAAACCTTTTTCCTCCCCATGTAACGCAGTGAGGGCAGATGGGGAGTAAACCTGTTTTCAGTGTAAGGAAAATGATTAGCATCTGATTCTTTTATTGATGCACTATTGACATGAGGTTTAACTTAAAGAACTTAATCATTTCCATCACATCTCTTCCACCTACACTCCAGAAATAGATTTCACTCACTTTATTGATGCTGACTGGTAACTTTCTAGGAAAGGAGACCCTCCGAAATCAACAGCATTGCTTACAGAGTAAGGCACTATTCCACACGAGTAACTATATCCATAAAAAATTTCATTTTGCACATAGAATTCGCAGATGCCTGAACTTCTCTGCCTCGGAGATATTGCTGCTAGCCTCTACGTGGCCTTGTGGTGTCACAGTTAAATGAACCTGATGGCTTAAATCTCAACTAAATACAGCAAAGCAGGTACGCATAACAGAGTTCGGTTGTGCTGTGATTTGGTAAGAGGCTGTTTCCTTTGAAGTCAATGACAAAACTCCCATTTCATTCAGTTCTACAGTTCGGGGCTCTAGATTGGTATTCTGCTGTGACATATGAGTGCAGAATAATTACAAGCATCTGTCAGCATTTCCTTTTGCTAAACCCCAAGAATACAAATACATTCAGCCCTCCCAAAGAAACATCTTAATGTGCACTTCTGCCAGTTTCTTGGGCCTTGTATCCAGTAAGCAGCTGACATGGAGTGGGGGAAAAGACAACCAAATGTGGTCAACTGGGAAGCCAGAAGACTGTGGGGGTACTAAACAAATACATTTCTGTGATTAAATATATACTGAAAATGCATTTTCAATATAAACAGGAAGTAGGCTATATGGAAAGGAATGTGTTAGTAGTTAAAAGCCTCTTTTTGGGGGGGGCATAGCCATACCTGAAAGCAAAGTAATTTTTGAGCCTGCATGCCCTTGAACAACTGTTTAAATATGGTAACAATTTCTAATGCTATTTTAAGTACATGCAGATTTAATTAAATCAAATTATCGGGGGTGGGGTGTTTCGCTGGAATCAGTCAGTCTTGATTAACATCCCGATTTCTTATTTTATCATATAGTTTTTCATTTCCCCATCCTTTAAATAACTCTGACCACAAATCAAAACCCCATGACTGAATCTAGAGATTGGAAGGAGAAACCTTTAAAATTTTTCACTAGTGTACACACAGAAATGAAATCCAAAAAGCAGGGCTCAGGAACAGTTACTTCTTGATTTGAAAACCTTCTGATTTTGGTGTATCTATCATGAAGCATGCTCACCACATCTAAAATCCTCTTTTCTTTCCTCACTTGGAAGCTGTCTCAGGCTAGTTTCATGTTTTCCAGGGCCAGTCCCTATTCACCACATAAAAGCTGGTATCGGACTCGGCATCAGACTTCTTTTTAAAGGCTGTTTCTGCTTTGGACAGCAAAACCATGAGCCTGAACTTACTCTGCTTGCTGCCAGTGGGAGTTTTGCCATTGTCATTTAGGGGAAGGTGCTGGTATTTCAGGTCTCCGATGCTCTCTAACTAATCACGCTTGAGAACAATTTTTACCAACGTGAGCCATCTCACCTGCTTCCCTTGCCACTACGTTCAGAGATCAACCGTGATGCAAGCAGCCTGGTTGAAATAAGTGAATTAAACAATGTTGGATATGGTGCCATTCATTCAAAATCCTTTCTCTCCCTTCACACTGTGCACAGCTAAAGGGAACCTGTGATTCACCCTGGCTTACCTTTACTCATTTAAGTAGTTTTACTACTCTTGTAAGTAGACATCAAAGAGCCTGTTGACATGAGTAAGGGTTCTGGGAAAATATGCATCCAATTTTAAGGCCAAGTCTAAAGTCCAGTGAAAGAAAAGGTCGTCAAGAACCATCACAGACTATGTCCCTGCTTCTGCTGTTACAGAGCCTGACCCTACTGCTAGAAAAATCAACAGTAATTCTGCCTCTTGCTTCAAGTGAAGCTGGGTCAGGAACTTGATTTGTTTAAGTTATAAAGATAAATTAGTTGTGCATCTTTTTTTCTTTTTTTTTTTTTTTTTTTAATTTTCCTACTAGCACATGGTATCCCTCCCTCTCCCCAGGAAGAAAACACAAAAAAACCCCAACAAACTTCTGCAAATAATTTAAATCAGAAAGCCTTGATATTTTACAGAATGCTCTAGTGACAAATTTAGTGTTTGCCCAATTGTTATAATTAATTTTTTTTTTTTTTTGCAAATTGCAAACAAGTCTGTAAAAAAATGCATTGTATAAAAAGTACATAAATGTATAACCCATTAGATGTACTATGCAGCCTAAATACTGTGGAATAAATTAGATAGAAAACTTAGCTATAAGCATGTATGTTGATACCTATTCAACAGAGGAAAAGGCTCTTTTTTTTTCTTTTCTTTCTTTTTTCTTTTTTTTTTTTCCTTTCAATTTCCTAAATCTCTATCTCTACGTACAAATACGGACACGCGCCCAGGCGCACATACATAGGCCCACACAGAGAACACCCACGCACGCATGCACACACAAACCGTTTTGGCTGACAAAAAAATGAAGGCCCTGATTACACTGTTTAAACATCGTTCTCGCCACGAAGGTGCTAACACGCTATCCCTAGCCAATGTGACTGGGTTAAATTGTGCTATCTTTTTTAATTTTTTTTTTTTTAATATTTTTCTTTCTTTATAGACTGTGCTCTCAGCAAGGTGGGGAGCCCCGTTCGTGTTTCTTTCTGTGAGAGGCGTTTTGAAGCCTGTCCCGTCAGAAGGCAGCTAACAGGGGCTTGGTCCTGCAAACCTGTGACAGTCTGAAGCTTCAGGCTCAGGGTTATCAAACTCAGTGTAAACAGGGCCTAAAGGTTTCTCTCATTCCCTCTTATCATCTCCCCCTACCCAAAGACAAACGTTGTAACTTCAACATTCTTTTAAATATGACAGCGATAGAATTTTTTTTTTTAAAAAAGCTATCTACATATGCCCTATGGGTTGGACCCTTCAGGTTAGGTGTTGACGCTGAAAATTAGGTCTTACAGGTAATGCACAAACCCATTAAGAGTGGTCATGCTAGAGGGTGGTGGTTGAGGCAGCCAGGCCAGTCTTTCGCTGAAGACGGCATTTCCAACAGAAATCCTACCACAACTGCCGTTTTCTGTATATTTGCAGGGGTGACGGTGGGCAGGACCCAAAGCTGCTTGCAATTTTACATCAAGCCTTTCTAAGTGTACACCAGCACTTTAGGTTTCTCTCACAAAAAAATACCACTTTGAACGACTAGCCTCCCACTTGGCAGTAACAAACAAACAATCTTTTAACATACTGTGCTTTGCACACAAACATTCATCGTTTTAAGAACATTAAAGTGAAACCAGAAGTGCTTATACCTTGTGTATACATACATATATACATACAGAAATATATACATATATATATGTATATTCCTTGTATAAAGTTGTTTCCCAACAATGCACAGTTGCTGTGCATCAGGGACCAGTCTTAGTGTTGTACATGCAAAAAAAGTACAATTATGCTTAGATGGACCTTGGATCCAAATCCCAGGGCTTTTCTGGGCTTACTCCAAATGGCAATTTTCTGTTGAGGGGACTATTTGAATTTATCTGGTTAACAGGTATTCTAGCCGGAATGTAACCAACCCACTGACCCTTAATTCAAACCCTAACTTATTACAGGTGAATGGTACCAACCACAAACAGACTTCTTAGAGGCTCGCACAAATGTCTTTGGTGTATGTGTCTATTCGTTTTAAGGTACAAAATAATAATTATTATAATAATAAAAATAGCTATTTTGTGTGCTGTAGCAGTTCTTGTATAGCTCACAATAAGTGCAGCTCTCAACCCCTCCCACACCCAACCACCCTCCCTTGCAAATATATGTTAAATAAGGATTAGACAGGTCAGACACCATTGTAGTGCAAATAGTAAACGATTAAAAATTTTTTTTACAAAATATAGAAATGTTTGGCTCCAGTAACTGGACAAACATGTTCCTTTCAAGTATCTCTCACTGAAGAATTTTTTTTTTAAAACAAGTTACTTCCATTTAAAAAAAAAAGTCTTTCTATTTCTTTTTTTTCTTTCTTTCGCAGGTAAACAGTTTCAAACCAACTAGGTTGCATAGTTCTAACGTTGTAAGCACCTTTACAAAGTGTAACTTTTATTCTTTCATTCGTTCTTTTTTCATTGTTGTTTTTTTCTTCATTTTCCTTTTTTTCCTTTTTTCTTTTTTTTTTTTTTGTAAATGTAGTGCAGAAGATGAAGGTGTATACACCTGCACAATATTGTCCCTTTACCAATGTTAAATATGTGTGTAAAGTCTGTATGTATAGACATATGTATATAAATACACAGCCATATATATATACACACAAACACTACACACCCACTCAGTTCCTCAGTAAATTTGGGGGGAAAGCGCCAGTGAATGTAGTGTTCATACACATGGCTTTTCAAGGAATTTTGAGTGACATTTTGGACTTAATCCAAATTGCTGCAGGTTAGATGAGCTGCTACCACGGCTTGAACTGATGGGTAACTAAGGGAGGGAACAGAACTCCCCTAGTAATAACTAATGCTTAATATACTATGTAATAAGATAAGGAGTGTACTGAAAGGAAGGGGAAGTCCCCAACCCATACCGCCACTCAGATGTATCTCATTCAAGCTCAGTTTGATGAAGCTTTCTTCCTTTTTATAGCTGAAGTCTTTGCTGATTCACCGCAAGTCTTTTTTTCTTTCTTCTCTCTTTTGTTTTTGCTTTTATTTCTGATGATTGTTTCATTCAAAAAAAAAAAGTTTATACCATGTCCAGTCTTTCCTTTTCTTGGGCTTTTGATACCTTTTCTTCTCAACTTAATGAGAAGGGTCTTGTGCACACTCGTGTCTATGAACAGCCACACTCCTCCACAATCATGTTCTGTATGTCTTTCTTAATGATGTTCTGGCCGTCGTCGTAGTACAGCATGGACATGGGCCGCAGCTTGGTGGGCACGCAACACGACTTGAGGTTAGCAAAGGGGCTGTGGCCCCGCATGCGGTAATGGTTGATAACAGTGGAGTGGAAAGATAACGACGAACCAGATGTGCCTGCTATATGGCTGGGGCACTCTCCTTCGCAGTAGTTGGCGTGATAACCTGTAGGTGCAATGATCCAGTCACTCCATCCTATGTCCTTGAAGCTGACAAAGAACTGCTTCTTGCAGCAGATGTTGACTTTGCCATCGCATTCCAGGCCTCGTCTCCGCCGCCTGTGCTGGCGGTCCTCTGAGTGCCGGGCAAGCATCATCAGGAAGGGGCGATGTGACTGCTCCTTCTCCTCTTCTCCTGTGACTTCTCCGGCTTCCTTTTCTTTCCCTTCCCCGTCATCTTCCTTTTTCTTTTTCTTGCCCAGTAGCACCAGGCTGGCTCCAGACTCTTGGCACAGGTCACAGGCAATCCGCACATCCAGAGAGTTCTTGCCTTGGTCCAGGAGCCTCTGGACGCTGCTGGAGACAGGAAAGATGTGCCAAGTGCTCTTACGAGTGTCCACCGCCTTTTCGGAAATCAAAGTCTCACTCCTTTCACCTTTCAGCCCCCCGTCCTCCATATCTTCTGCTCCTTCAGAGTTGCCTTTTGGCTGCCGCTGCTGTTGAAACAGGCGGATGGTGACTTTTGTCCTGCTGCGGTTGGCCTTGGAGACCTTCAGGAAAAGCCACACTTCAGCATGTTCCACCACTGATAATTCACTGCCTTCCTTGGAAATCTCAAAGTGCAACATTTTCTTGGCTGTGCCTGATTTGGTAAATGGAAATAGACAGGAAGAACTTGTTAGTATGTCTGCTTGCATTCTGTTAAAGAGAATTCTGTTACAGTTGCCACAAGCATGAAGTTCCCTAGGTTTCTTACTTGGTTCTTTAAATTTTTATGACTCTTGTGTTCTAATCTTCCTTCACCTCATCCCTTCCACAGTTTGTCTTTTGTCAAAATCTGCTCATTAGAAAAGTATTTCTTTGCCTGTTGATTTCCAATATCATATTTTAACGGAAGCATTTTGTTACAGTAATGATACAGTCATTTATGTAAAGCATCTCATGGCAAATTAGCATCAGTAGCTGCTAAGAGTTCACTTGCCTAAGCTGTCTCTGCGATCACTGTGAGCAGAACGGCAAGAATGTTTCTGTGACGACAGCCTGTGACTATACGTACCCTATACGTACAAATCTGCACCATATAGCTCAAGTTAGGGAGCGACTTCCAACCCTGCCAATTCTTTGGCAATACTTTGGAAATTATGTGGGAAGAAGGTCTGCCCTTTCTCCCTCTGTAAAATGCCATTATTCGTACGCATCTGAAAATGAGTTGTAAATGTCAATTGTTCCAAAAAACCAAAGAAATATTAACATATGAGCCTCAACTTTGAGAGGTTTGCAGAGTTATATTGTAAGGAACTGCAGGATTGCAGCAGGCAGACTCTTCATCCTGTGAGATCTGAGCTGTAGATCCTGTTCTTAATTTAACACACTGTACTCGTTGTGATTATAGTAATGGTGAATACACTGAGAAATGAGCTGAAGAACTGTATAATTATGGGGATGGTTCTCTAGCATAATTGTATCAACTTGCTGAGATGTCATGATGATGATTATGATGGTGAGGGGGTGTTTCTCTGATACAGAGCTCATATCCCTGGCAGAAGTTGGAATGAATAATGAGGGCTGTTTAATGATTTGATCACTAGAGCATGAAAAAGTTAAGAGAGAATGAATTAGCTGGGGGGTGGTGGTGGTATTAATTTTTTTTTTTTTTTTT